GTACCTCGGCTTATTTCTTGTCATCACAGCATAACTAGGAACCTGACAGGGTATTTTGTTGTAAAAGACTCATTGTAAGCAAATCAATAGAGCATTGTATACACCCTGGGCAGAGCGTACTTCCTACCTCTTCAGTTGGGATTTGGTCCTATAGCTTGTTAGGGCCAACGTTACCAATGACTTTGAAAACATTGCATGAATAGACTTGCTCACTGCTGCCATTGCAGTGAGGAGAGTATTCCTGAGTTACCCGCTGATGCCAGAGGGAGGAAGAGACACAGTACAGAGCTGCCCCAGCCAAGGGCCAGCAATCAGCCAAACTGCAACTGGGTGAGCTAAAAGAATGTTTATTGCTACCTGCCTTCAGAATAGGGGGCTGTCAATTTTATTGCAAAAGCTCACTGACCATCTGGGATAAGGAATGAATTTGTCATTCAGAACCCTTCCTTGGAATGGCGCCTAGGATCATGAAATTTCCTTATTGATGATTTCTCTTTAGGGCCTGCTATGACCTGAATGTTTGTGTCCCTCCCAAAATTCACATGTTGGAATCCTAATTCCCAATGTGATGGTATCAGGAGATGAGGCATTTGGGAAGTGATTAGGCCGTGAGGGTGGAGCCCTCATGAATTCAATGAGTGCTCTTATAAAAGAGACCCCACAGCCCTAGCCAGTTTGGCTCAGTGGATAGTACATCGGCCCTCCTACTGACGGGTTCCGGGTTTGATTCTGGTCAAGGGCATGTACCTTGGTTGCAGGCTCAATCTCTGGTCCTGGTCGGGGCGCATGTGTGAGGCAACCAATTGATGTCTCTCACATCAATGTTTCTCTCGCTGTCTCTTCACTTCCACTCTCCCTAAAAACCAATGGAAAAGTATCTTCAGGTGAGGATTAAACAAAAAAAGAGAGACCCCACAGAGCTCACTAGTCCCCCTTCTACCATATTAAGATACAACGCGAGAGAAGTCAGCAACCTGGAAGACAGCCTTCACCCAACCATGCTGGCACCCTGACCTTGGACTTTCAGCCTTCAGAACTGTGATATATAAATTTTTGTCATGTATAAGCCACCAGAAGCAAGTAAAACAGGGCCTAACATTTTGAGTAATGAATGAGATCCATATTATTTGCAACATAATCTCAATTTCATTCACTATTTAGAAGTGCAGTTACTATTGCCATATATATATATATCAAGGGTCCTCAAATTTTTTAAACAGGGGGCCAGCTCACTGTCCCTCAGACCGTTGGAGGGCCGGACTATAGTTTAAAAAAAACTATGAACAAATTCCTATGCACACTGCATATATCTTATTTTGAAGTAAAAAAACAAAACGGGAACAAATACAATATTTGTATTTGCATGTGGCCCGCGGGCCGTAGTTTGAGGACCCCTGATATATATATAAAAAACAGAGAATGTTTGGCCTGCAAAGCAAAAGAAGTTTACTACTTTACAGAAAAGGTTTGCCCAATTATAATTCACTCCCTGGCTCTGGGGAGTGGGTCACTTTTCCCAGGCAAAAGGGAAGCTAACACATTTGGAGATCTGCCATCAAGGAGGAAAGGGGGAGGTGGGGTGTTGAATTTCAGTAGCAACCAATAGTGCCCACCACCATTGCCACCCACTCTACCAGCCCATATTATCATGGCCCAGGACTAGTGTAAGGCACAGGACAAAGCCAGTATTAACCAAATACAGTGACAATGTCACAGGAGAAAATGAAGCAGGTCAGAGAAAGGGCCTTCACCAGGCTTGAAAGGCTAGACAAAGTTATTATCTTGATACCTCTTTTGTCATCTTTTGAAGAGCCATAGGCAATAAAATTGTCCTTTATTCATTCACCCCTTTATTCAACAAGTTATATATTAAGAACTTATTGGGGCCCTAACCGGTTTGGCTCAGTGGATAGAGCGTCGGCCTGTGGACTGAAAGTTCCCAGGTTCGATTCCAGTCAAGGGCATGTACCTTGGTTGCGGGCACATCCCCAGTAGGGGGCGTGCAGGAGGCAGCTGGTCGATGTTTCTCTCTCATCGATGTTTCTAACTCTCTATCCCTCTCCCTTCCTCTCTGTAAAAAATCAATAAAATATATTTTTAAAAAAAAGAACTTACTGGGGACAATGGTCATTTGCTAGGGCTGCTGTAACAAAGTGCCACAAATTGTGTGGCTTAAACAACAGAAACATATTGTTTCCCAGTTCAGAGGCCAGAAATCTGAAATGAAGGTGTCACCAGGGGAGGTTCCCTTTGAGGCTGTGAGGGAGAATCTGTTCTGTGACTCTCTCCTAGCTTCTAGTAGTTTGCCTGAAATCTTTACAGTTCCTTGGCTTATGGTAGCATCACTCCAATCTTTTTTTAAAAAATATATTTTATTGATTTTTTACAGAGAGGAAGGGAGAGGGATAGTTAGAAACATTGATGAGAGAGAAACATTGATCAGCTGCCTCCTGTACACCCCCTACTGGGGATGTGCCCGTAACCAAGGTACATGCCCTTGACCGGAATCGAACCCGGGACCCTTGAGTCCGTAGGCTGACGCTCTATCCACTGAGCCAACCGGCTAGGGCCACTCCAATCTTTTTAAACAAATATTTTTATTGATTTTAGAGAGGAAGGGAGAGAGAGAGAGATAGAAACATCCATGATGAGAGAGAATCATTGATCGGCTGCCTCCTGCATGCTCCCCCACTGGGGATCGAGCCTGCAACTCGAGCATGTGCCCTGATCAGGAATCAAACCATGACCTCCTGGTTCGTAAGTCAACCCTCAACCACCAAGCCATGCTCCCTGTGTGATTTCCCTGTGGACAGGATTGTACTAACTAATGTATTTTGAGTCCACTTAAGGATTTCATTTTTTGTTTTTTCGTTATTTTTCTGTGCTCTTTATGAGGTACCTATGCAGCAGTCATTGTGTTAACAGCAGGTTCATTCTTGGCTTAGGACCCTGCTAAGAGCCTGTCTCTCAAGGAGAAAATAGCCCAAGGAGATGGTGGCTACAAACAAGAAAAGCTTTTCTCCTTAGCCCTACAGAATGTTCAAGCAATTTTCTCAGGATGCCCAAGAATCACTTCCTTTCCTTTCAGTGTTTTAGGTCCTTAATTAGGATATAACTCTTGGCGTGGAGTTTTGTGCCCACCTGCTTAAGACTGTTTTGGTTTCCCCAACCTTTCCCTGTTTAACCAGATCACCGTGTTCAAAGAGTCACCTCTGCCTCATCCCCTGCCATCAAAGTAAGTTCAAGAAAACACAATGGTTCTGGTTTGGGTTCTGGCCCAAACTTCCTCAGCTTGGCATGGAGACCTCCGCACTCCCAGTCTACCACACTATAATTTAGGGTGTGCTTTCTTATGTTATTTGAGGGCATCCTTCTGTTTTAGTCAAGGCAGTCTCCAGAGTCTATACCAGCAGTTCTCAACCTGTGGGTCGCGACCCCTTTGGCGGTCGAACGACCCTTTCACAGGGGTCGCCTAAGACCATCCTGCATATCAGATATTTACATGACGATTCATAACAGTAGCAACATTACAGTTATGAAGTAGCAACGAAAATAATTTCATGGTTGGGTCACAACATGAGGAACTGTATTTAAAGGGCCAGAGGGTTGAGAACCACTGGTCTATACACTTTACTATCATTCCATCTCCAAGACCTTGCCTGGGCTACTCCTACACCTTCCTCCCAGTGAGAACTCTTCAAGGGCAGAGGCTGAATTATGTAATATATACTAGTGTACACACACACACACACACATATGCTTTTCACAAATGTTTATGGAATAAAGATGAGTTGAACTGAGAGGCTTCCAAAGCATTTATAAATTTACTAGAGGCCCGATGCACGAAATTCATGCAGGGTAGGCCTTCCTTCCCCCGGCTGCTGGCACCGGCTTCCCTCTGGAACCCGGGACCGGGCTTCCAGGGAAGGACATCTGGTCTAATTAGCATATTACACTTTTATTATTATAGATGACACAAAATCACCCTTAACTCTGTGCAGACTTGTTTCTTTTTCTGGCTCTTACATAACAGATCTTCCTAACGGTTTTCTGACTACATGTTCCTGTGGGCAAGCACCTGTCCTCTTATTACTTTTTTTATATATAATACTTGTTTTCTTTTTTTTAAATATATTTTATTGATTTTTTACAGAGAGGAAGGGAGAGAGATAGAGAGTTAGAAACATCGATGAGAGAGAAACATCGATCAGCTGCCTCCTGCACATCTCCCACTGGGGATGTGCCCGCAACCCAGGTACATGCCCTTGACCGGAATCGAACCTGGGACCTTTCAGTCCGCAAGCCGACGCTCTATCCACTGAGCCAAACCGGTTTCGGCTTTTTTAATATAATAGTTGTTTTCAACCTGGGCACTTAGGAGGCATTTAAATGTTTCTTTATTGAGTCTTTTTTTAAAAATATATTTTTATTGATTTCGAGAAGAAAGGAGAGGGGGGGAGAGAGAGAAATATCAATTACGAGAGAATCATCCACTGGCTGCCTCCTGAACACCCCTTACTGGGGGTCAAGCCCGCAACCTGGGCGCCAGAATGGAACCCGGGACCTTTCAGTCCACAGGCCGACCTTCTATCCACTGAGCCAAACCGGCCGGGCTCTTGATTGACTGAAGTCTTCGAGAAATGTAAGAATTCATGGGGGAAAAGCTTCCCTCCACCAAAACCTTTAACACATATGTAAACAAGAATAACCTTGTAAAACTTTTAAAATGTTTTTATTTGAGAGAGAGAGGAGAATAATCATCGATGAGGAAGAAACATGTATTGAAACCCCAGCAATGTGCCCTGGCCGGAACCCAACCGGTGACCTCGGGACAACGCTCAATCCACCGGGCCACACTGGCCAGGCTTGCAAAACTTTTCAAATGTTGAAGTTCTCAGTGTTCATATTCTGGTCTTTACATTTCTAGGTTCAGTAATTTTATGGCAGGGTGTTTGGGGCAATTCCTAAATTCAGCTTTCCATTCAGGTACACTTACTTACCTTGTCCAGGTTTCCTCCCTCCGCCCTTTCCTCTGCGCAACACGATTCCGCCCACTTCCGGCTACGGGCTCCCAGAGCGCAAGCGCAACTCCCGGAACCCTTCATCAAGCGCTCCCATCTATGCGCATGCGCAAAGGGGGCGTGTCTGGGTAATGCGCGGGAGAATGCAGGTCCACCAAACTCACGCGACTGTCTCCACCCACCTAAATAGGCAGGCGGAGCCCAGACACGCCTCACGGTTCAGGCGGCGCATGCGCACTGAGGCCAGGAACACTGCGAAAGAACGAGGGCGCGACTTTACGCATGCTCATGTAAATGAAGCAAGAAGCCTTTACGTCAGCATCAGAACCCGCCTCCTTCCTCTCTTCACCTGCCTCGACTTTTAAAGGGCCAGACCCCTTTTTCAAAGAATAACTTTTTTTTAAAATATATTTTTATTGATTTTTTACAGAGAGGAAAGGAGAGGGATAGAGAGTTAGAAACATCGATGAGAGAGAAACATCCATCAGCTGCCTCCTGCACACCCCCCACTGGGGATGTGCCCGCAACCAAGGTACATGCCCTTGACCGGAATCGAACCTGGGACCCCCCCAGTCCGCAGGCTGACGCTCTATCCACTGAGCCAAACCAGCTAGGGCCAAAGAATAACTTTTTAAAAATTAAGCATTTCTGCCGAAACCGGTTTGGCTCAGTGGATGGAGCATCGGCCTGCGGACTGAAGGGTCCCGGGTTCGATTCCGGTCAAGGGCATGTACCTTGGTTGCGGGCACATCCCCAGTGGGGGGTGTGCAGGAGGCAGCTGATCGATGTTTCTCTCTCATTGATGTTTCTGACTCTCTATCTCTCTCCCTTCCTCTCTGTGAAAAATCAATAAAATATATTAAAAAAATAAAAATTAAGCATTTCTTTAAAAAAAAGTAAGCATTTCCTGAGAGCCCACTACGTGCCAGGCCCAACTTGTCTCTTGTGTGCCTTTTCCAATTGTTCCTTTTGTGATCATTGTAATAATTACATTATTTTTGCATAAATTTCTTCCCTTGCCCCAGTTGTACCATTCCCTTGGAGACAATAATTCGAAATGGGAGGCAAAGTTGTGTTCTGGGCAGGTCTTCCTAGGTCAAGAGGTTTGAAATTGAATCCTGATTCCACCACTTCCATGCTCTTTTACTCCAGATATGGTACTATCTAATCTGTGAACCTAAGAGTTTGCTAATTGTTTAAAATAAAATTTTTCAGTTACAGTTGACATTCAGAATTATTTTATATTACTTTCAGGTATACAACATAGCAGTTAGACATTTATATAATTTACGAAGTGATCCCCCGATAAGTCTTGTGCCCACCTGGCATCATACGTAGTAGTTATTACAATACTAGATGCCTGTGGGATTGGGCCGAAACTGGCTCTCCGACATCCCCCAAGGGCACAGGCCAGGCCGGCCAGGCCGAAGGACACCACCAGTGCAAGATCAGGGCCTGGGAGGGACCGCGGGAGGGCTCCAAGGCATGTCACCCCAGTCTCACTCAGTCCCCATCTGCCAGACCCCAGCAGTAAGCTAACCTACCAGTCCGAGCATCTGCCCCCTGGTGGTCAGTGCACATCATATCATTAGCATATTATGCTTTGATTGGTTGAACAGCCCACTGGTTGACCAGATACTTAGCATATTAGGCTTTTATTATATAGGAGGATTACTGACTGTATTTCCTATGCTGTACTTTACATCCCTGTGGCTGTTTTATATGAGTTTTGCTGATTTTTTAAATGCTGATAAGGTTCCTACCTACCTCAAAGGATTATTATGAAAAGTATATATATATTTTTAAAGTATGTAGATTACCAATACTATGCCTCACACCAGCTATCTATTAAATAAATAAAAAGTAGTCATGAAGTGAAATTATTTAATCAAAAAATGGTTTATAGTTCCTGTAACATAGTTCCAGATGATACTTCAGGAGGAAATACTTAATTACCAGGGTGGCTAGCAGTGTGAAACAGTGCCTATTTCCCCACAATGTTGCCAATATCACAGCCCTTCGTTTTACACACTTTCCCTTGTCTAGACAGTATGTAATGGTATGGCAGGGTTACTTCAACGTCCTTTAATTGCTAGTGAGGCTCTGCATTTTTCCTTCGGAGGATTTTTTGTCTGTATTTCTTTGCCTAACAACTATTTTCAAACACTGTAATTTCCACTGGCTTATCCCTGTAGACATTATGTTAGGTTCTGACATAACATTTTTCTGACCAATTAAAAGAAGAAGAAAAAAGAGGATTGGGGTGGAGAGAGACAATTAAGAGGAAACATTCCTACGGAAGGGATAGAGACTACAGGACAGAGGTCTCAGAAGCAATGTGTCCCCCTAGCTGGTTTGGTTCAGTGGACAGAGCATCAGCCTGCGGACTGAAATCCCCTCTGAAATCAATTAAAAATATATTTTGAAAAATAAAAATATATTGTAAAAAATAACAAAGAAGCAATGTGTCCAGTAGAACTTGCTATGATAAAGGAAATCATTTGTATCTCCGCTGTCCCTATGGGAACCAGTAGCTACATGGGTCTACTGAATACTTGGAACCTGGCTAGTGTGACTGAGGGATTGAATTTTGGTTTTATTAAATTTATTTATTTATAATATTGTAAAAATTGATTTCAGAGAGCAAGGGAGAGGGAGAGAGAGATAGGAACATCAATGATGAGAATCATTGATCAGCTGCCTTCAGCACACCCTCCACTGGGGATAGAGCTCACAATCCACCCAGGCATGTGCCCTGACTGCAATAGAACTATGACCTCCTGGTTTTATAGGTTGACTCTCAACTACTGAGCTATGCCAGCTGGGCGGTTTTATTAAATTTAAATATTAAATAGCCACTTTATTGATGGCATAACCCTAGAGATTAGGAAAGAAGAAAAAGTAGGGTTGAAAAGGGGTGTGCCTAGTCATTCTGAAGTGGCCTTATAAATATGAAGGGACTCAAATTTAGATTTTTGGTATGATTCCCAATGAGACAGTCCCAGACAAGGTGTGTTCAGTTTGCAAAAATCTATCAAGCTATATACACTGATGATATTTCCACTTTTCTATGTGTATTTTACATTCAATGAAAATTTAAACTATATTTGCCACACTTTGTGTTACACTCTTTAGGCATTTTTGTCTCAGGGGATAGAGCGTTGGACTGGGGACTGAAGGGTCCCAGGTTCAATTCCAGTCAAGGACACATGCCTGGGTTGCAGGCTCGATCCCCAGTGGGAGCCGTGCAGGAGACAGCCGGTCAATGATTCTCTTTCATCATCATCTCTCTCTCTCTCTCTCTCTCTCTCTCTCCCCTTCCTCTCTGAAATCGATTTAAAAAATACATTTTTCCGATTTTTATTTTAACGAAGTCTCCAAAAATAGAAGTGGGCTGTGACTAGCTTTGGACATCTGAGAGCCCCTAGAGGGCGCTCATTCTGCATCAGAGACTTGAAGGCTTCCTTGCAAGAATTCACATACCACACATTCATTCCTTTAAAGTGCATAATTAAATTTCTAGTCTGTTCACAGAGTTGTGCAACCATCACCACAGTCAGTTTTAAAATATTTTTTCCATCACTGCAAAAAGAAACTCTCTGCCTATAACCTTCCTAACTCCGCCCTGTCTCCCTCTCCAAGCAACCGCTGATCTATTTCCTATCTCTAAAGATTTGCCTTTTCTGGATATTTCCTATAAGAGTAATCACATATGCCGAGGCCGGTTTGGCTCAGTGGATAGAGCGTCGGCCCGCGGACCGAGGGGTCCCGGGTTCGATTCCGGTCGGGGGCATGTGCCTGGGTTGCGGGCGCATCCCCGGTGGGGGATGTGCAGGAGGCGGCTGGTCGGTGTTTCTCTCTCATCGGTGTTTCTGGCTCTCTGTCCCTCTCCCTTCCTCTCTGTAAAAAAATCAATAAAATATATGTTTAAAAAAAAAAAAAAGAGTAATCACATAAAATGTGGCCTTTTGTGTCTGACTTCTTTCACTTAGCATGCTTTCACAGTTTATTCATGTTGTAGCATGCATCTCTATTTCATTCCTTTTTAGGGCTGAATAATATTCCATTGTATAGATAGACCACATTTTGTTTATCCATTCATCTTTTGATTGATACACAAGAGAACTCCCTTCACCCAACCTGCAAACAAGGCCTTTGAGAAGAACCCAGCCAAATTCTAATCATTCAAATCTGTCAAGTAATTATCAAAAGAGCAGTTAGGGCTGGGGCCTTCAAGCTTGGTGCTCCTGACACTTCAGTATGGGGCAGTTGCCAGTCCACAGCAACTCCTCAGGAGTTTGTGAATCATGGCAGCAGATTCTGACTCGAGATGAAAAATAATCTCATAGATTTGTGACCTGCCCTTCCAGCTGGCCTGCAGATAAGCCTTCGCGTGCCCCAAATTCTTCTCTAGGGGATAGTCCTGCCTTCCCCTGAACCAGGGTCTAACTAGGGGCTGTGAAAGGACTCTTTGCAATAGTGGGACTGAGGCTTGTGACTGTGTCTTCGCCTGGCCTAGGAAAGAGAAGCTTTTAGTCCACGAGGCGCCATTCAAAAGGCAGCAGGGCAGCTCTGGACAAGGGACAGTTTGACCTACTTGGCTGGGCACGCTGGCCAGGTACCTAAGGAGGAGGGGCAAATGTCTTGAGGAGTGTCACAGAGTGTCAGCAGCATGACTGGCCAGGGGCAACTTTGGACCCTAGCTAGGCTACTCTGGAATTAGGGATTGTAATTCAGAAAGAGCCAACTAATTTCGGTGAGTGATATAAGAGGCAGCCATTTTGCACCATGAATATAAGAACAATAAAGGAGAGAGAGAGAGAAAGAAATAGAGATAGAGAGAGATAGAGGGGGATGATTGCTTTGCTGTTGACAGCTTTCCAAACCCTTGTATCCTTAATAAATTTCCTTTATTGCTTAGTATGAGATGGTGTCTCTACTTGCAACCAAAAGACCCTTGGATAAAGCAAGAAGATACATTGTGCAAGTTCTGTGTCCATTAGTTACTATCCACTGAGAGAGAGGCACACACTCCACAAATTAACTATAAATGATGTGGTGAGTGTGGAAACCAGAGCAAAATCCTCATTCCAACTGGAGTGAAGAGCAAAGCAATGAAGGAGCACCCACTGGAGCAAAAATGACACTTCAACAAATACTGTATGAAATTAGTGAAGCCAGGCACTCAGAATAGGCATATTTGTTAAGACAAAATAGAACAGAGGTTACTAGGAGCTGGGGGAGAGAGGAACGGGAAGTTGTTGTTTAATGGGTACAAGAATTTTAGTTTGAGCCTGGCCAGCATGGCTCAGTGATTGAGCCTCAACCTATGAACCAGGAGGGCACATGCCTGGGTTGTGGGATGGATCCCCAGTGGGGGGCATGCACAAGGCAGCCAATCAATGATTCTCTCTCATCACTGATGTTTCTATCTCCCTCTCCCTTCCTCTCTGAAATCAATAAAAATATATTTTTTTAAAAAAAGGATTTTAGTTTAGGATGATGAAATGTTCTGGAAAGGGATAGTGTGAATGATAGCACACTATTGTGAATGTACTTAATGCCACTGAGCTGTACCCTTAAAAATAATTAAAATGGTAATATGGATAATCACAATAATTAAAATGGTAAAATGGATAATCACAATAAACAAAAAACAAATCACAAAAAGAAAAAATTACACCCAAGTTCAATCAGTCTTGAAGTTAGGGCCTTCAGACTCATGTGTCAATCAACCTCTTTCTATGGGACATGCTGCAGGGGCGTCCGTTTCCAGTCTCTTCCAGTTCTTTGCCCAAACAGTGCAGTGGCTGCAGGAGCTCAGAAGAACTGCAGATGGAAGAGGAGGCCGCTTGCCCGCTGGCCAGGCTGCTATCTGGAGGAAAAGAAGCCGTGGCTGAGGGCACAGAAGAGGCAAAGGCCCTGAGGCAGGAACATGCCGGGGACTTTCCAGGAAGCAAGTGTGTGGGGCTGGAGCAGAGGGAGAGGGGGCACTGAGTAGGGGACAAAGTCAGAGAGGAAAGGGAGGGAAGTGGGCAGATGAAGCAGGGCTTTCAATGCCACCAGGACTGTGGCTTTTACTCTGAGCGACCAGGGGAGCCAGGAAAAGGATGTGAGCGGAGTGACCGGGGCCTACCTGTGTCCCAGTAAAATGTACGCATCTTCCAGGGCTGGAGGGGCTGTGAAACCTCCCTCGGGTCCTCAAAGGCGGCTAGCAAACCCCCACAAGACTAAGAACTCGTGTGGCCTGGGCTTTCCCTTTGTAATTTTGCCACTTGTATCTTGGCAGAACCGCCTTTAACCCTTTCCTGCCTGTTTCCGGCCTTGTATCTGCTCCGGGAAGCCCGGGGCGGGAGACGGATAGGCGTGGAAAGGGCAGTAACCTGCCGGGGCGCACCGAGACACTCCCTCCTCCCGCCCCCTGCACACCTTTGGCCACCTGGCGGGTGCACCTGCCGGCACACGACCTCCACAGGCCCCAAGACTTCCTTCCCCGACGCGGAGGACCTGAACCGTTCCCCCTCGCGCGGCCCGGCAGGAAGGGGCGGGCGCTGCCAGCAGGCTGTGCTGTAGCCCCACGTTGCCATAGCGACCCCGGCCGGGCCGGGGACACCGGAGCGCGCTCTGCCGGCTGCGATTGAGGCGGAGGCTGTGACACCTCATCCCGCCCAGGGACTCCGAATCCAGGCTCCGCCAGGCAGGTGAGCGCCGGTGAGAGGGCGCAGGTGGGACCGGGCGGTGTCGCTGAACGGTCCGGTCCCCTAGCCCTCCCAGGCCAAATTCTAGCCTTAGGGCCAGAATCCACTCTGGGTTGGTCGTACCGGTTATCAAATATGTGACCATCACCTCCGGCCCGCGGACAGCTTCTTTCCGATGTCATCACAAACCCAACCGTTCTACTGGTTTCCCTGGGTTCCCAAGTAATTGTGCCATCAGACCCCTTCCCCTCCCCCCCGGGGGCACCTGGAGAAGCGAGGGAGGAGTCAGCTGAGGATCCGTCCAACACAAAAGAATCCCCTCCAAGGGCAGCTCATCTGCCCCAGGGACTCAGAGCACACATGATTCGCCCCACTTGAGCTCAGACAGTGCCTCCCGGGGAAGCCCCAGAACCCTGGCATAGCTCGAGGCACACTGAACCCCTGATGTCCCTAACCCTTGCCAGCACCCTCTGGCCCCGCTGAAGCAGCCAACATGCCTATCTTCAAGTGCCCACCCAAGTCACAGCCCCCGTGGAAGGAATGGGACCAAAAGGCCCAGAAGAATGGACTGAGACACCAGGTGTATGCTGTCAATGGTGACCGCTACGTGGGCGAGTGGAAGGACAACATGAAACATGGTGAGTAGGGGACCTTCAGGGGCTCAGGTGGGGTCTGAGCCAAGGAAACAGGGTACAGAACTCATGGGGGACATAAGATAAGTCCCCGAGGCTCCTCCAAGGGGTGAATGCTGACCTGGACCAGCCAGGGACCTCCACGTGGAAAGGAACTCAGCCCTGACTTCAGCTGAGAGAAAGTTTCAGGGACCAGCAGGGCCCAAAACAGTCTCGAGACACCAGCCCCAGGCACAGCTGTGGCTCAGGAGATGCCAGCTCTGTCCCACCCTCCCCTCCGAGACCTGGGCTAGGCCTTCGGCTGGCTAGCGGGAGGAAAAGGCAGCCGGAAATCAGCTTGCAATCGGGATGCTGGTCTTCAAACTCAGCCCTGATGTGGATTCTGACCAACAGGGGGTAAAGGAGGACCCCTCCCTTCCCTCAAGTAGCTGGGGCTCAGGCTTTAACTGCATTGGGCTCTGGGTCTAACCAGCAGGGGAGGCACAGGAGTACTGTGATACAAATGAAGACCTGAAGGCAAAAAAAAAGTTTTCATTTTAAAAACTGGCATGACTTTTCATTCCAGTCTCGCAATTCCAGATTCTTGACCCCTCTTCTCTCCCACTTACCTGCATTGAGTGCAGTGGAGTCCATAAACCTGGGTGAGAATCCTAGCTCCATCAACTATGACTTGAGTGACCACCATGCCATTCTGGGCCTCAGTTCTCCCATCTGTAAAATGGGAGTAAAACCTATTTGTGAAGATAAGAGATGACATCTATCAAGCATGTAGCCCAGGGTCTGTGCAAAAGGGAAAGGGTGTATGGAAGAGGCTTGTAATTTTATTTTTTTAAATAAGTTTTTTTAAAAATATATTTTATTGATTTTTTACAGACAGGAAGCGAGAGGGATAGAGTCAGAAACATTGATGAGAGAGAAACATCGATCAGCCGCCTCCTGCACACTCCCTACTGGGTATGTGCCAGCAACTACGGTACATGCCCTTGACCGGAATCGAACCTGGGACCCTTGAGTCCGCAGGCCGACGCTCTATCCACTGAGCCAAACTGGTTAGGGCAATAAGTTTTTATTGATTTTTACAGAGATAGGAAGAGAGAGAGAGAGAGAGAGATATGGATGAGAAACATCATCCATCCGCTGCCTCCTGCATGCCCCCTACTGGGGATCGAGCCCACAACTGGGCATGTGCCCTGACTGGGAATAGAACCAGTGACCTCTTGGTTCATGGGTCGATGCTCAGCTACTGAGCCACACCAGCCTGGCAAGGCTTGCAATTTTAAATGGGATAGTCAGGGTAGGCCTCATTGAGAAAATGAGATTTGAGCAAAGACTTGCAGGAGGTAGGGAGGGAGTGAATATTTGGGGAAGAGCATTCCAGGCCAGGGAACAAGCAGGTACAAAGGTCTTGAGACAGAAGTATACCTGGTGGGTTCCAGGAACATTCTGGAGGCCATCACAGTTGGAGGGTAGTCTGAAAGGTGGGAGTGGAAGACACAGAAGGGGTTAGAATAGTAGGAGATGGGTCTCCACGTGTGTTCAGGAGAACTAGAGAAATATACAGAACATTTTCCAGAAACTGTCCATGAAAAAAATCCCAATTCTGTCCAGCCAGTGTGGTTCAGTGGTTGAGCATCGATCACGCACCAGGAGGAGGTTGCAGGTTCCATCCCAGTCAAGGCACATGGCCAGGGTTTTGGGCTCAATCCCCAGAAAGGGGAATGCAGGAGGCAGCCAATCGATCTTTCTCATCGATGTTTCTATTTCTTTCTCCCTCTCCCTTTCTCTTTAAAATCAATACAAACATACTTTTTAAAAAATCCCAAACCTAAAGAAGTTTTGTTTTTTTTGTTTTTTAATATATTTTATTGATTTTTTACAGAGAGGAAGGGAGAGGGATAGAGAGTTAGAAACATCGATGAGAGAGAAACATCGACCAGCTGCCTCCTGCACACCTCCTACTGGGGATGTGCCCGCAACCAAGGTACATACCCTTGACCGGAATCAAACCTGGGACCTTTCAGTCCGCAGGCCGATGCTCTATCCACTGAGCCAAACCGATTTGGCTAAAGAAGGTTTTTAAAGTTTATTTTGAGACAAGGGTTTTGAGGTTAGTCCGGGAAGCAAAATCTCAAGGAATTGAGACAATGCTCCCAAGAATGGCAGTTTTGCAGCTTATTTTATATGTTAGAATCAAAGGAGAAGACATAAGGCGGGCACACGAAATCCACAGGTGGGAGATTAAGGACAAAGCAAAGCCGGGAAATCTCTAGAATTGGATAAAAAGTAAAATAGAGAGATACATACTCTGTTTTTTACATTGGTGGTTACAGGATAGTTAATATTTCACAAACATAGTTTACAGAGGTATGTGGGTAAAGATAATAATGAAGCATGTTGGAGTTGTCTTGCCCCATATCGGGTTCTGAAGAGCATTTTGATATTTTAAGTATGCTTTTCTACATGCACAAAAACAATGGACAGGGCTTGTTCAAGGTAGAGAATTATCTATCACATAGACCTTAAGACGTGACTTCCCAACATAACTTACTCAGTTATGATTTTTTTTAATGATTGAAATATCCCTCGAGGTTACTTCTAGCTATGGAGCTTGCCAGGCTTGCCAAGGTAGCCCCTTTTTGTTCACAAAACCCTGGCCAGCTGGCTTATCCATTCTGTATTATTAAAGAGATGAAACTGAAATCCTGGAGGGGCCAATTGTTACTTGGGTTTTGTTTGCTATGTCAATCTGGCTTCAAGGCAAAGGACTGGAGAACCACCGTTTAAAGAAATGGAACTTTCTGGGTGTTTTTCTGAGCGCTGGTGGTCTAGAGCAGTGGTCGGCAAACTGCGGCTCGCGAGACACATGCGGCTCTTTGGCCCCTTGAGTGTGGCTCTTCCTAAGCCTTAGGAGTACCCTAATTAAGTTAATAACAATGTACCTAGCTATATAGTTTAAGTTTAAAAAATTTGGCTCTTAAAAGAAATTTCAATCGTTGTACTGTTGATATTTGGCTCTGTTGACTAATGAGTTTGCCGACCACTTGTCTAGAGACGAGGCACAGACCCTGTCCCAGTCCCCCAGAATCACCAAGTCTAGGGGCCCCTGAGGCCCAGGCAGACCCAGCAACTGCCCTCCAGCCCCATGATGGCCACGTCTGCAATGTTGGCCCATCTGTATGTCATCAGGAAAAGGAACACAGATCTGGAAGAAGAAAGGGGCCATCTATGAGGGGGACTGGAAGTTTGGGAAGCGAGATGGCTATGGCACCCTCAGCCTTCCTGACCAAGAGAAAGGAAAGTACCGGAGAGTATATTCGGGCTGGTGGAAAGGCGATAAGAAATCGGTGAGTGGTTCCCATCATGCCCTGGGATGTGGGCCAGGCTGAAAGCATAGTGTGTGTGTGTGTGTGTGTGTGTGTGTGTGTGTGTGTGTGTGTGTGTAGGGGGAGGAGCCAGAGAGGCCTGGGAGAAAAGGTGGGGGGGATGGATTTGAGGAGGAAAAGGGGTACTGTGTGGGTAGGAGAAGGAAGGGGTGGGGGGACCCTTAAGGCTTCTCAGAACAAAACCCAGGAAACAGGAAGGCGGAGGAGAGACCCAGGGAGGAGCCTGTGAAACCCTGTGGCTACAAGAAGCCGGGGGGGGGGGGGGGGGGGGGGGGAGAATCTCCTCCTCCTTCTCCCCCACTCATTTCCTGGCTTTCTTTTCCCTGGACGGCCCTTTCTGAGAATCCCCCTTTGGTGGGCCAGGATAAGAGGAGGGTAGGAAGAGTGGGAGCAAGAAAGCTGAGGTCACACCCTTAGTCATCTGACAAGAAAGGAAGGTCCCACGTCCCAGGGGTAGAAGCCAGCCAGAGGCATGTTCTCACCCATAAACATCAATATCCTCACCATAGGCCATGGGAACAGATAAAAATATATTTATTGCTATTGAACAACTGCTATTGCAATCCTGGCAAATGATAAGGTACTTGAGCTAACTCTCACATCATCATCATCATCATCATCATCATCATCATCATCATCATCATCCCCATTTTACTGATGAGGAAACAAGCTCAGAGATGAAGTGCTTTGCTCGGGGTCACACTGCTGGCAAGTGATAGAGCCCAGGATTTCATGGGCTCTGCTTTCAAATTGTTTATTGGCCAGTGATGAGAGAAGTGTTAGGACAGAGCTTTGCACAAGAAGTCCAGAGGAACATCATTGAGCATTCACAGGAGGCTTCCTGTAGGAGTTGACATTAAAAAAAAAAAAAAAAAAAAAAAAGAGTAA